GGGGGGGGGGGGGGGGGGGGGGGGGGGGGGGGGGGTGGGGGGGGGGGTGGTGAGTCGGGAGGATCGTGGTTTTATGCTGTTTCCCCACATTTTGAAAGAACCGTGCCGTGTCGACGCAGCAGGCTGCGCCATGGTATGGCCTCGGCGGAGGACTCGGGGTGCGGTAGCTGGTGACTTCACCGCGGTGGTTTCAATGTGTCTCACGTCCCAGCCTCGAGTCATTTAATCACGTTGCAGTGCTGGAGAGGTGGGGGAAAGGTAGGAGAGACAATGGTTTTTAAGAGCGCGAGGATCCCGATTTTAGACAGTGTTGCACCGTCAACGTGTTTGATAAGTTGTTGTGAGATGTTGGTGCAACACTAGTGGTTGTAGATCGCCATCATCTCCCATTCCAAAGCAGAATTTCATACGCTACAGAAGTTTCATTCACTGGAGAAATTCAAACGCGCTCATGTTTGCAAGCAAACAATTCAGAAGGAAATAATGATCAGCAAATGCCCTGTAACATCTTTGGATGTTACTTAAGACTCCCAGAAAAAATGAGTTACCATGAAATTACATTTTGTGTTGTGTTACTTTATGACTATACTGCTTACGTAGCAACACGTTAATGTGTCAAAGGGGTATTTGAGATAACTATTTTAAATCTTTTGTTTACAGAATTAAGACTGAGTTACTACATCTGCTACGCCGGTGTAAACTGAGAATAGTTCATTTACGTGAATTCAGAGTTATAATACTGTATTTTGCAATTGTGTCTGATACATGCTTTCCAATTAGCACAGCAGAGAGCATGGACTTTGAGTCACTTTCTGTTTGAACTCAAACTTGATTTAAAAAGTCCAGTACCAGAATTCATCCATTATCCTTAATCATTTTTTAGTTATTAATTGACCTAAGTATTGAAAATACATGCATGTATCACAGAGAGTATATGAGTTGTTCTTTCCTAACTCTGGCCATTTACAGATTTTTACAGAGCTTTGGCTATTTCTTTTGAATTGTAAAATCTCATTCTTTTAGGTTGTAATATTAACATAATTTTATAGTCGATGGATAGGGAGTGATGGCTTTCAGGGAAGTTAAAAGTCAGATACTAATCTAATTGAACATATTCCCATACACTGTAATTTCAGTTCAGACAGTGAAAGAGGAAGAAAATTAATGCATACTGCAATTGTTATCTTCCTTTACCTGCATGGGTATGCTGGGAGACGAGGCAGCTTTTGCCTCCACTGTAGACTTCCTGAATGGCTCAAAAAACCCTAAATTCTTATTCAAAAATCCTTAGTAAAATACCCAAAGACTTTTACTGTCTCTTATTATGAAGCAACATTTTGCTGACACAAGTCCATCTGGAGTTAATGTTCAGCATGATTTAACATACCAGTTTTTTCCCCCAGGTCAAAAATGGAAGATGAGCGAAAAATGTCTTATTTTTACAACTGATCATAGAGAGCATGTTGCAGAGGTAAGAGTAATAGTTTCTGACAATTCGCAGAAAACAAAGAACCAAAAATGAGGCAGGCATGCTTGGCAGAAACTTCCTGGCTAGCTGGAGCTAGAAGTTTTCTCTCTCAGCATGTCCCCTCGAAAGCATTTGGTGAGTGCGCTTTGTAGAGAGCCCCAGGAGAGTGTCATAGTGGGGAGCTGTAAAGGGTATTGCTATGATCACCGGTTCTTTTCCCCCGTGCGTATGTGCAGACAGCGCAAGGCTGAGCTGTGCCTGTGGCAGTCATTACGGGGTGACTGAAGAACGTTTTGCTGTAGGTATGGGAAATAATTTTGGTTTCCATTTGAAGTAGCTTCTGGATTTGACACGCTACTTTCCACAGATCTGCATGCTCTGTTATTTTAAACAGAGCTATAAGGTTTGGTTTGTGTTGAAAGCACGTAATAGGTGATCAAATAGTTTAGGTCTTTCTCCTGTTTTTATTGAAATCAATGTCTTTGCCTATAATTGAGTAGCATCAAGGCCCTATGCAAAGTAGTTTGATTTTTTTACACTGCTTTTCATCAGAAATCCAGAGATACTGTTCCCAGTGAATGAACCAACTAGCAAATTACCTGAAATTGAAATAGGTGTTTTAGATGTGAATGGGGATATCTCTCATCTATAGGTGATATCACAGGTATTGCCTTGTTTTGGCTATTTTGCATAGAAGTTTCAGGAACATATATTACCAACATTATGAATTACAGCTGCAGTTTCGATATTTATAAATGGCTGTTGTCAGATTTGAGATAGAAGACACATTAACCACATTGTTCGTACCTCCGTTGACAATCCAGACTATTAACAGAGCTCGCAGATTTGCTATTTCTTTGTGTAGGTGTTTGCACTTCACTGGAAAGGCAGGGCGTGTGAAATATTGTGGCATTATTGCAATGGAACGGAAAAGTTATGTTGTTAGCTCCAGGAGATGGCACTGTGTCCTCTCTGGGCTAGAAATTATATACATAGCTTTGAAATGTACATTCAGAACCAATGGAAGTGAGGGGTTTTTCTCTTTCTTGTTATGAAACACACATTTCATTGTAGACCTAAATTCATCTTTAACTGTCCCAAATACGGTATTTCATCACTTTTATTTTTGCAAATACTTTATATTTAAACGCAGATGTATATATTACCATTATCTGTACAGTGTCCTGTATTTTCATGTTCCTGTCACAGTGCTTCTCTGCGATACATGCTTTACAGGCATTTGGAAGACCGGAGAAACAGCAATGTGAACATTTTGTGATTTACCTGTAACAGTTTGGGGTTCTTGGCTAGTTCCAGAACTGGGTTCCTCCACGTATCAAGTTGTCATTAATAATGCGTAAATTTCTGTGAAAAACACAAAAGCCAAGCGCATTAAAAACCGAATTAACTAACAAATTGCCTACTAAGTAGCAAAAAAAAAAAAAGCCTCCTAAAAGGGTTCTGGCTTTACTGTTCGAGTAGGAAGGAGGCACTTTTTCACTGAACTTTCTGTGTGGCCTTTGAAAGTAAATAGCTGGTACGAAAAAAGAGCTTTATTTGTGTTGCAAAATTTGCTGGCTGATAACGCAGGGCTGACCGAAAGGGAAATGGGTGAGGCCTTCACATCCTGTGCTCTATCTCCCCCGTGCACGCTGCCCGCACCGAGCGCACGCTGCCGTGTCTCTTGCAACGAGAGGCGGGTGAGGCGACCTGGAGCGGGCTGGCCGGCGGTCTCACGGCGCTCTCCTCTCTTACACCGGGTTGTAAATGTTTTGCAAGGTGCATTATTCTCACGCGGAGGGCAAGAAACTCCCCCAAAACCGAGAAGTCTTCGCGGCAGAACTAATTTAAACCGCGATTTCCCCCGGCTCGGTGCTGCCGGCGCCCCCTTTCCCGGGAAGCACCGCCG